AAATGATGCAGAGAACAGCCACACATTTCGTCCTACATTGTCAGTACCCGTCTGATGTCAATTATTCCCGCACTTTAAGCAAGTTCGACCTGTTTTCTATAACCTACTGGCATGATCATCTGAATTTACTAGTCATTCTCTCTAATTAAAATATCAATGGCATGGTGTCAGTTTCACGTGGGATGTTCATGCCTTGCTGCCGCTTCTTTAAGAAAAATCTTAGTTCGAATTCATCTAACTGACGATTGTGTATGTTTAACTCTTCAGTCATTGTATTTTATCAGGTCAACTGAAGCCATCTTTCACGTCTTTTAAAATTGAACACAGGCTAGTAGTAATTGATTAGTTTATTTACCCACAAATAATATTTACAAGTTGAATATTTGAAATAGTATATAAACGGGCTACAGAAACCTGTGGAAATCCTGTTGGACTTTTAAGACGAGACCCCTATAGTTTTACTGTTCAGTAATATAAAAATAGATTATGTACATTGGCCTAAGGACAATTTGCAATGAAAAACACGAACTATTTACAAACAAATATGGAAAATGTTTAAGGAATATTTGGTACATTACAGAATACTGTCATTAATATTCCTGAAATATTTACATAAACTAGGCATCAAGTCATTACTTGATTTTGCAGTTTTCTTAAAAGAAAAATGTGATTTAACATTTTTAATTTCTTCATCAAGGCAATTCCATATAGAAACTCCTTTGTTAAATACACAGTGTATTTGCGATAGTTTGTTCTTTTATAGCTCACATGTAACATGGTAGAATTTCGCGTATTATTGTTGTGTAGTTTGTTATTTTAATTCGTGAATATATAGAATTACTCGAACGATCCGTGCCAGCTTGGGTAGCGGTCAGAATTACAAACGGAATGGCTACTGATTTCCGACGAAGGGAAATAAATCTGACGAAATAAATCTGGTATGTCCGCGCACCCATGTATTATTCTCTATGTATTCAGATGTGATAAACATTCGAATCCCTCGCACATCAAATTAATACGAAGTGTCAAATCACTTGAGTTTGCTTCGCAAAATGCATAGTTTCCCTAGCCTTACGGTTAATCGGTCCTAAGGGAGCGTTTTATACGGCGATTTTAATGTAATCTGAAACAACCGACATGGGATATTAACCAAACGGCAAATATAAAAATGAAATCAAAAAATATTTTCAAAAAATTATTTCAAAAAAATATTATTTCGAAAAAATGTTTGAAAAAATATATTATTTCAAAAAATATATTAAAACATATATCTTAATTAAATATCCGCGTTTAATTCCCATATCCGCTCCGCGATTTATCCCCATATCCGCTTCGTTACGTTCATCCGCTCCGTATCCGCATCAGTTTTTGATCCTAAACGGATAACAGATAGGTCAACAAATCAGCGTGGCAATTAAAAAATGATGTTTTTATCCGAGCATAGTCCGGGTATGAGTAATGTTTTCAATATTGTACAATGTCAATGTCTCCAATTAATTTCGTCATTATTTATTTTACTCTTAAATTAATTACTAAGTGCGATTAATTTATTTTCGCGAAGTCACAAGGTGTTATGCAACCTCGTGCCCAGAATATTTTCTCTTATCCTCTGCGCACGGCCACCTGCTAGAAAGATCCTGGGTACGAGCATGGGTGTTATGAACGCAAGCAGTTTTTCGTGTTGAAATTTCATTTGATATTTTTGTTCTAGCTTACTCGGATCTACAGATCAAATTGGTCAACCCAATAAGCAACAAAACTGCAGGAAGAGTCGAAATATACCATCCTTCCTTTGGCTGGGGTACTGCCTGTAGTCTTGGGCTGCCGTGGACTATGGTGGAAGGTGGTGTTGTGTGTCGTCAGTTGAATTTCACTGGAGCGAACGCAGTAATGAGGAAAAGCTACCCCTATGGCAGAGGAAGTGTTCCAGTATTGCTTTGGAACATTAAGTGCACTGGCAACGAAACATACATATGGGAATGCAGTCACAATGGATGGAATGTGTATTACCCTGACTGTAACCTTCATCATTGGGATGTGGGTGTTGATTGTTCCTGATGTCAGGCATGCGGTGATCGATTTGGACTGGAAATTTTATTGATTTAAAGGTGTTTATGTGAGTTTTTCATAACAGGTGGCCCACTCAAACGATACACTTCAACAAAATAAAATTATAATAGTACTTTCATAATAAGTTCTTGTAGGTTTACATGGCGAAAATAAGTATAATTGTTTTACTTTTTGGAAAACACACGATTTATCAATTAAGCGGAACTTTCGCTGTTCAATATGTTCGTTTGAATAGACCTTTCCCCTTTTAAGTGAAATTTTGATCTAGACTAGGCTGGACATAAATTTCATCACAGCTTGAAAGAGCATAACAAAATTAGTAATATTCCGAAGTTTTGTTGCGAAATGTTGTAAGATGAGGATAATATAGCCTTGCGAAGTTCGCCGTTTTTCAGTCCTTTTGTATTACAAATGGGAAATTGATAATCAGTTTGATGATCTGATTATCAATTTTCCGTTTGTAATGCAAAATTACTGAAAAACGGCAAACTTCGAAAGGCTATATTATCCGCATTTTACAACATTTTGCAACGAAACTTCGGAATATTACTAATTTTGCGATGCTCTTTCAAGCTGTGATGAAATTTTTGTCCAGACTTGTCTATATCAAAATTTCACTTAAAAGGGGAAAGGTCTATTACAAGCGGGACACCCTGCAAGTCAAGTTTAACGCGATCTTTACATATGTCTTAGTATAAGTCCAGGTACCAATACAATGGATCATATACGTCAGAAAGTTGATAATTTATACGATCTGGATAACTTTTTCATTAAAATGTGTGATCTCTACAGCTTCAAACTTTTGCTGCCTAAAACTTCATACTCCTCTAACATAGTTTTGCATTTGGGCCAAATCGTGGATCAATATGCAGGCATTAATTTCTGAAGAAGTTTCTTTTGTTTAAGCTAAGCGACTGAACTATTAACCCACTGTCCCCCACGCATACATTGCTGAGTATGCATGACGTTTTTTATTTAAATCAACTGGACAAATTGTTAATGCTTATAGTGACGTAAGGAAATTAAGCAGTTCTTATATAGGACAGATGATTTAATCATGAATAATAAAATGACTGGATAGAAAGCTTGATGGTGAAACGATGATCAACTTGAATACTTGATTAGAAATTATGAATTACAACAATCACTGGACACTTACATGTTGAACTAAAAGCAACTTGAGTATATGCATTTGCTCAAATTCAAAAGATTTCCGTTTAGTTCCATATCTCAGTGCTTGTAAGACAAAAGAAAATTTTCTATTCGGTCGAAAAATTTCGCCTAGTTGAAAACTGCCTTAACTCAGAACGTGTACATCTATACTGTGTTGTTTTCGCTTAGTGAGTTGATTTCGTGACAACGTTTTTCATTCGGCCGACAGAACCGAATACAGAAAAACACAAAGTGCAAAAACATCATACTTCCAAAAACATGGCTAAACAACTCGTGATTTCACTGCAAAATATATCCAGGTTGCTTATTAGAGTAGGTCTTCAAATTAATTTCTGATTGCATCAATCAACAAACAAGAAGTACCACGCGCGATTTACGTTTCCCATCCAGTCATATTTTATCATCCATGAGTTTATTCATGTAAAAACAGACTGAAATCAATTATTACTGCGTGGACTATCTTTATACATAACTCACATAAACACCACCTAGTCAGACGTTAGAAATGCATTTAGCGTGATATATCACTATTTCAGTAGAATTTAATGCCCATTCAACATAGAAAGTATAGGGAGAACAGTTGTTCAACCATAAACAGTGCCAGTTGGGGGTGTGTTTGATTCTCGTGGTCCTTATTTTCATATCCAGGCAAATCGATAAACAAACAAAATATTGTCAGTACAAATATATATCATCACACTTGGCTTAATGTCTACGAAAGACTTCGTCTTGGGTTTGCGTGCTTTCTTGTATAACCTTAACGCCAACGTAAGGTAAATTCCTTTTCACTTGCTTTCATTCTCCGCTAAATTCCTTACACAGATCGTGAGTGAATCCTATAGTATCTCATTTTACCATTTCGAAATTATTTCCTTATTTTACCTCCAATTATAAAGCTAAGTTGGAAACCGATACAAGAAAAAATTAACAATCTACAGTAAATCTATCAAAATCATCTATTAAACTTCCTTTATGACAATAACAATAATCTTTAATAAGAGATGCCTGAATCACCTTACGGTGTTTTTGATGAGATGCCAAAATGGCCAAGTTTTTGGCTAAACTTCGCTTGTCTGGTCTGAACTTTAATTTGCCGTATCAAACACACCCTTTGGCTCTGGCTATAAGATATAAGTTTTATGTACTTTGAACCGTAGGTTGTTTTCAATGGATGGTTGGCTGGTGGTCAGTTAACTGCTAAGCTTTAAAAATATGATTAAGAAAAGAAGCATAGTTTTTTTAACTCTAAACCTACATGGTTGCCTTCCTGGAAACAGATGAAGCAAAGACACGCACTATGTATGAGCGAGACAGTACTTTGGGTATCAGCATAAAACAAGAATTCATAAATAAATAATCTGTATCTAAATTTCTAGATCTGAATTCATAAACAAATAATCTGTAAGTATCTGCATGTTGGATGCACAGGGGTAATCAACATTTTCAGCAAATCGTTTTCGTAGTCGGCAAAACAAGAACTGGATCGGAAAGGAAAGAAGTGAAATATTTGAGCGATGCTGATAAAAAATAATACTTATAGGAAATATTTGGAGAAATTTACGACAACGTTAAAAGAACATTTCTTAACCCATAACTGAATGAATGTGAAGTCCAACATTTTTTGCCGCTGAAAGGTGTACTATAACATCTGTCAGAAAGTGTTATTCAAGAAATGTTAGACTGAACTATAACTATGTAAGAGTAATCGCTACTCTCAAATAAGTACTCACTACTCTCCCCATCTTTTGAAGCGCTTAATAAACGCCCAGGCGTTAATAAGATCATTTACGGTACATAATGCTGATCGTGGATTTTAAACTAGTAACACTGTACTAACCAGCCAAATCTTCCTGACGAACACCAACGGTTCTTATATTTCGCATTATATAATGTCATTAAAATTAATTAAATTTAGTATTAATTTTAAAGTTAGCTAACTAGATATCGCCATGACATTTACAAACATATAATAAGAAGCTTCACTACTTGTAGTGCATGACTTCCAAAATTATGCTTGTAGTGAACGTATTTCAAGGATTTGTAGTAACTTTTGTAGCGCATGATTTGCATCAGTATGTAATATGCTGCATGCTTTGATTTGTAATGAATGGCTGGTTTATATAGTCTCAATGCTAGTCGAGACTTGCATAGAGACGTACATAATAATATGATTGTAGTGACTTTGTAAGGGTAGCTTTGCAGTCGCGTGGAAGTTTTTTGAAGAGAGGTCTTCGGAAAAGCTGCGACATGGCTCGCATGTAAATTTAAAGTTGTTTGGGTTAGTAAATAAATAGATAATGCATTTTAATTCTGTTGTACAATTATTGTGTAATTCTAGGGGCGTTTTCCATTAACACGGCCAACAAGTCAGAACGGTCAAATTGTTGAATGAAACACAAAACAATTGGGATTTGTATCTATCTGACCAGAAAATTTAGATAACATTAGAATGATGTCCATTTCCCCTAGATATTTGTGAAATATAGTCCAGATCTTTCCATATTTGATACAGGGAAAATAATTCGGGTCTGACTGTTTACGCCATTAAATGGAAAGCGCCCTAGTTCGACAAATCTTTCTAGAACGGCTCGGAAATGTGCACTACCGCTTCAATTAGCATTCATTTCCGAAACACAGCTGTTTCTCAGTTTGCAGGCTTACACTGTAACAAGGCGCCATTTTCTGTTCTGGAACATTTGCAATTATGTTCTGAAAAGATGTGTATGGAGCCCAGACATTTTTCTGAAACATGCAGTGACTGGAAGTATGTACAATAAATCAAATTTAGATTGGGCATATACATCGTCGAAATACCAGTTTGTATAGTGAGAGTAATATTTGAAATATTTTCCCGATATTTCCTCTCTTTCGTTCTGGCTGACACGGTTCAAAGTTTGAATTAGTACATTTCGGAATAATCAAGTGACAATTTGAAATGTTGTGTTTCATTACAGGAAAAACCGGACAACACCAGAAAGTAAATGTAGCAGCATGTGGGATGACAGCTGCCGTCCCGACGTCACAAATATAGCTTTCTGATTGGTCAGGATTTCAGCCGGCCAACCAATCAAAGATCTTTATCTTGTGACATCTGGACGGCAACCTTCACCCGCATATATATTTGCTTGGCAACCTTGGGGAAATAAATAATATACATTTATCACTTATTTACTGAGACCAAGGGAAACAGTGTGTATTGTGGGCCCGAGACGGCGGTCGAGGGGCCACAAAACACACTGCTTTCCCGAAGTCTCAGTAAATAAGTGTTTTGTTATATAGTATATATAAGTGTAAAAGTATAAATAATTGGAGTGAACTTAATTTCAAACACAAAATTGGATAAATGGAACGCCGTAAAGGTTTAATAAGTTTAAAAATGAACTTTGGAACTTCATGTTTGACACGCATACGTATTGCACCCATTTTATTAATGACCGGTCAATAAATGTTCCATTGTGGATCGGTTGCCTCCTCAGCAAAGCATGCAGTGAACATGACGTTTTGTGGATCGGCACGTGATACGGTTTTGACCAGTCGGCAAACAGAAAAATTGAACTTTGACACTAACTATATAACAAAATATAATATAACGCTACCTTTTCAGGAGACCCATGATAATTTAATAACTAAATATGTGAACTCGGTCTCTAAATAAAAAAGCCTCTACAAGTTCCTACAGACTACTCTTCTAGGCCCAGAATCAATAATTTTCTATATATACACCATATTTCTAAATAATATGTCACAATGACATGAGCGAATCAATACAAAAATACTCATTGGCGCGGTTTAAGCGCATGCAATAATATTGAGTGGAATTATATTCTGTTGCCATGCAACACGTCGCTTCAAAATGGCGTACTTTGTTTTGCACAAAATATTCCTGCTGAAAAGGAATTGGCATAAAATGTAAAAAAGTATCTTCAAAATTAATGTACTGTAGCACCGATTATTTTAGAGAGAAACCCACAATGCAAGCGAACCCTCCAGAATTTAAAAAATCATTTGTAAAGCTGAGGATAGTAATACGCGAATCTATATTTAACAATTCAGATTATAAGTGCTTGCAATTGCGAATTCTTTGATTTTGAATTTTCCGAACAATTGTATTAAAAAAAACAGGTGTTGAGTGCCGAACCAGTTTTATGCTTAGATTGATGGGAAATGAGAACCACAGCCTGCAAAGCAGGCGCTAGGTGAATCAACGTCTGCCGTCATATCCTCATATGTTTCGAAATACACACACTTTTAATAATTGTCAACCTGTCAATAACGAACCAATCAAAATTATCTTTGCTACTAGATAATGTAAACTGATATACAGCTAATTAAAAAAAACGTCCTTTGCAAACCTTAAACTCTAAACCTTTAACCTTAAACTCTAAGCACGCAAAGCTTAATGGGAGCACAAGTTTCAAGCTCAGTAGTTGAATATTGCGACTGATTTGTGATCGAATGAATTGTTCTCGTAAGGAGATATTTACCATGTCTCTAAGAAATGGGCCCCACATATGATTTGTAAACTGATCAAATGATGGTCCCATTATGCTTTGCACTTTTAGAGTTTAAAACTTGCAAAGTACAACCTTTTTTGAATTGGCTGTATATTCCCGCGAAAAGTTAGCTTATCCATAGAGCGAGAGGCGACAATTTTCTTATCGAAGATCGTGTATTTTCACAGGTATGTATCAATAATTTTGCCACACGTTTATCAAATTTGATTTTTTTAGGTTAGATATGGTTTATAATTTGCTGTTTAGTCTCATTTTCTGGTCACTAAATAGTTGGAAATTAACAAACACGAATAATACCCTTGAAATAAACATATAGCGGAAATTTTTAGTTTTTATGGAAGAAAATCGCTCTTTCAAACCATGTTAATAGTGAGCTTAAGCAAGCGACGTTTTTACCAACACGGACGTCATCCGAAAATTCGTATAACTAATTTTGGAGGCATCGATATATTATTGGTTACAACATGTGGAATGGATGGCATTTAGCATCATGAGAGCTAGCCTGCTCACAGACGTTGTAGTTCTTACGCCAAGCGACGAAATACTACCGTCTGCTTACCCGAGCGCCAAACTGAATTCCGCTACGTTGACCAATCAGAATTTACCTTCCAAATTCTGGAAAGTGACGTCAGTTGATTTAGGAGCGGAATAAATATAAATATATATTTTGAAAGCAGTCGTCGGTTGAATTTTGGTCAAAATTGCACATAAATTGAATTTAAAGATACTGATACTTGTCCAGGTAATAAAATGCACCATTAATGGTCAGATTTGGATATTAAAGATGTTCGGTTATATTTAAAACGCGGACAGGATTGGCATGTTTAATATTACTGTATGAAGCCAGACAGGCGAGACAGCATCAAATGCCGAATATATTTTGCTGAAATTTGAACTTTTGACGGATGTTTATCTTTATAAGACAACAGAACTCGGAAGACAGAAAATTTTATATAATACTGTGGCTTAGAAAGCGAAATATTAGCTTCAAAGTAAACTAATTTGCTGTTTGAGCAACCACTTCTGAATGTACTGTAAACACAACACAAACCCGAGAAACTTGTATTAAAATTGCGCCGTGATGAATTTTCCAATTCGCCCAAACTTCCAAACGTTTATACTCTAACTTGGCTATACTTTTCTACATGACAATGAGAGCTTAATCTTTTAGAAGTTTTCGTCGAAGTCATGGCATATAGGAAGTATCAAGAGCAACATTTGGACATATCCTGATATACTCCAGTTTCCCGATTGATTGTTTGTCATTGTTATCAAAAATTTTAATTTCGCCTACTGCATTGCTTTAGCACTTTATATACACCGATTGTTTGCTGAACATGCGAGAAGATGATCACAATATTATTCTACGTGAACATCGTGAAGTTCAACGCTATAGTTTCCAAAATATATCCACGCAAGTAAACAAATTTCAAGTTTCAACCCAAACAATATATTCCAATGCATGTGCAAGGGGTTTCCCCTGTAGCTAATCTCTCAATAAGGCGGCTTCCAATTGGCTCTAACTTTTTTGAACACTGCCAGATGATTGGCTCCTAAAACAAAGGGAATTGAATATGCAGCTCGGGTAAGCAGACGCTAGTATTTCGTCGCTTGGCGTAAGAACTACAACGTCTGTGAGCAGGCTAGTCCGGAGGGGGAGAGAAGAAAAATTTGTTTCTGACAATAGTAAGTGTACTCAGACACACAAAGGGGGTAGGGGGTTAACTTCCAATCTCCTCTGTATGGATGTTTTCTGGAATGACCTGATTGCAGTTTAATGGGTTAACTTATTAAGTCACACTCTGCCCTACTTTATTATTTTATTCTGTCTAATGCCAGATGATTTTACTTGTTAAATAGGGGAACATGCTTCTGCTCAATGGTTAACCATAACCAAAATTGCCCTAACAGCATAGAATGACCTAACTATTTTGAAAAGCTCAAAGACAAACTGTAAAACCAACATGAGGTATGGTCAGTTAGGTGAAGATATGTATGAGATGATGCCCTCTAAGTTTGTTCACATTGGATAGATAGATAGTAGATAGTATATTTGAACTTCCATGGCAGCATACACTGAATTGCAGAAGTTTTACATTATGATTAGATAGATCAAACGGACTGACGTGAAGCAGACCGAGGTAGACTTTGGGCTTACAAATGGCGCTTGAGCAGCCGCTATTAGTCCATACCTCATTAATGATCTGCCTCCAGACCTTAAGTGCCTAACCCACCCTGTCAACTTTCCCTGTGGGAGGAAACACGGAGTACCCGGAGAAAACCCACGACTTTCGGCAGAGCGTTGACTTACTCTTTTCACATTAGGACTGGGTTCCAGTCACAATGAGAAGTCCTCGTTGAGATTCGAACCTGCAACCTTAGAGGTGAAAGGCAAGTGCGCTAACCGCTTCGCCACCGAAGCCCCTTAAAAGTTGAAAATTCCCAGTTGAAAATTGCCAAGTTGAAAATTCCCAGTCCAATGTTGCAGCAAACAACAAAAGATTGTGGGTTTAGTTTCCAACTATGGACACACTCAGAGAACATAATCTCAAAAAAATCATACCATTTCCACACTCAAGTTGCCACACATAAAGTCAACATTATCACATGCACCCACCCATCTGGAATAATGTCAATCATGACACTTTTCAAATTAACGGCTCGCTCTATTCGCAATTTGCGAATGTAAATTCGCTTTTTGCGAAATGCAAAATCATCATCCACTTTGCGAATGTGGTTTTGCAAAAACAATATATTAAGGAATTTTTTTTTTTTTTTTTTTTTTTTT